GTTTATGTGAGATCCTGTCTTACGGCCCCATTTTTTCGCCAGCTAAGAAACAACGATTTCTCTACCTAGTAGCGTGTGAACTCTGAAAATACAAGATTTTGACTTGGGTGCAGGACTCTGAGTCGACATTCTGAACCATGAGTATTTCAGACTTGTTGATTCTTGGACACTGAGATTTCAGGAGTAGTGAAATTTTGAAAAATGACCCTCCAGACTCGAGAATTTGTTTGGGGGGCAAAATCAGGATGCCTTTTTTTGAAACATCCCTTGTCTCTTGCTAGGCACTACCCCTTGTCTAGCCTAGGGGTTGTGTCAACTCAGGGCAAATTCCTACAGCCTCGCGTCAGACTAACCTCGCGTTAGACGCGAGCTTCCGTGTATTGGTTGCCTTGCGTCATAAAATGCAGCATGCGCTTGCGAATCCCTTGTGGTGCAAAAGCGATTTTGTCTAAACAAAGTTTTGTCGCCACCAATGGTTTGTCGCCACAGCGATGTGCTGAACCAGTCAGGCTGCCCGTGCAGGAAAGCACTTGAACCAGTTTGCAGAAAGCGACGAACGGCTGCGTGAATTCCGCCACTTAGGGCGAACATTTTGTCTTGTATGAAAAGCACAAGTTGCATAAGCACAAACGAAAATAGCATTTTGCGAATTCCGAGAGGACAACACATGCGCTTGGAAATTCGGCAAGAGGCGCGGTGCTGGTCTAATTGAATCGTCTATTGCGAGTGAAACGCATGCACGTGGCATCGCTTGTAACTGTCTCTCGCCTCTCTTGTTACCGACCTGTCCGTCCCTGTCTCCAGTCTTAATGCTCTTGTCGCCGCCGTTAGTGACTTTGCCTCTACCTGCCGCCTTGACTACGCTATTGCTTTGTCTCCAACCCTGGCCGTCCTTCGTCCGTCGGGTGTGCTCCTGCCCTTGGTAATGATGTCCTAGAGGACAGGCAGTACGAGCTAGCTTTCCTATAGGAGGCCGCTCCGCATCTCTGCTCCATACTGCTAGTCCCCGAGGGTGACCCAGACGCCCTTGACAGCCCGACCCTTCGCACTTAGGGTCCCTGGGCTTCTTAGTGGATAGCTAACATGGACGCGGAGATGGCATCTTGGAGATCCACTGGCACCTACGTCGACGTAGTTCCCCCACCTGGGGTGAACGTAGTCGATGGCTGGTAACTTTTCAAGGTGAAGCACCCTCCTAGAGAGCTCCCAGTATTCAAGGCGCATTGCGTTGCGAGGGTGTTGACTTGTTTCAGACCTTCGCCCCGACCTTGACGATGACCACTCTTCGGGAAGTGCTTCACATAGCAGCACACACGGTTACGCGCTCCACTCTCTCGACTTCTCCACAGCATTTCTAAAGGGCATTCTGTACGAGCAAATCTACCTACACCGACTGCCAGGCTTTTCTGGCTCTTTCCCTCCTAGGACCGAGTGCCTCCTCCGGCGCTCGGTTTACGGCTTGGGTCAGGCGCCCCATGAGTGGCACGATACCGTGCGTGCTACGTTAGCAGACCTGCAGTTCTTTGTGTCCTCTATAGACCCTTTGCCCTTCATTCTCTCAGGCCAGACTTCGTTCTACATCCTAGTCTATGTAGACAACCTGTTCTTTGCTACTGCAGACAGAGACGCACTGGCTTCAGTGAAGCCGAGCTGCTGAGGAGACACACCTTTACTGTCCTAGGAGAGCTGTGCCGCTACCTTGACCTGCAGATCTCCAGGGACAAAGCAGCGCGCACCATTACTCTCACACAATCACACTTAGTGCGCCAAGTCCTTCAGAAGTTCGACCTTCAGTTCTCTTCTGCACAACCTATGCCTCTAACAGTAGACTACAGGCTCTTGGCACCAGTCGCTGATGAGTCGGTTGACTCGAGTGGTCCATACGCAAAGCTTGTGGGTTGCCTCATGTACCTGATGACGTGCACTCGTCCAGATCTCGCATACCCTCTTAGTATCCTGACTCGCTTTGTGGCGTCCAGCAGACACCGATCTCAGCACTGGTCGGCCGCTAAGAGGGTTTTGCGTTATCTAGCAAGTACATCGGGCACGGGGCTAGTTCTGGGAGGACGCAGGCCAGTGGTCCTTACTGGGCACACAGACGCTTCGTGGGCGGACGACGCTGAGACGCTTTGGTCTTCCTAGGGCCATTGCTTCAGCCTTGTTGCAGGCGCCATCTCGTGGAGGTCCACCCGCTCGGTGTCTGTTGCCCAGTCCAGCTGTGAGGGTCAGATCTGCACTGGTGCCATGGCGGCAAAGGAGCTCTGCTGGCTGATGTTCTTGCTCACTCACTTAGGTGAGCGGCCTAGCTCTGCCTCGGTCTTGTACGCTGACAACAAGGCAATGATCCTCTTGTGTGTTAGGAGCCACGTTTTGAGGGCAGAGCAAAGCACACCCAGCTCCGGTACTTCCTCTTGCACGATCTACAGCAGCGCTGCCAGGCCCGCCTAGCACAGTTGGCCTCCGGTGCCAACACATCTGATATCTTTACTAAGGCGCTTGCGCCTAAATATCATCAACGGCACTGTGTACAACGTGGTCTAGTTCCAGTAGCTCCTCACCTGCTAGGAACCTGATTGTGTACTACTCCTCATATAATCTTGACTGGCCTTGTGGCTCTTGTTCCAGTGGCTAGACTAGTAGTGCCACCATAGGTTACTCTTACTTAGCTTGTACTCTTGCTGACTTGTCTTCAGACCCTTGCCAGGGCTGATTTTATGAGACTATTTTAGTATGATTGTTTGAAATTTCAGACCAATTTTTTGGCCGATCTTGATTTTTCCGACTTGCCATTTTGTGAATGCTGAACCGTTCAGAGTTATATGTTTTTGAATCCTGAGAATCTCAGACTTGGTTGTTTGCGGATACTGAGTCTTCAGAGCGCAGGGCGTACGGACCCTGAGATATACCGGTACTGCACCTACCTGCCCTCACCCAAAAAAATTGTCCAAGTCCCCAACGGCCAGAGTCAAGTCTTTTCACACACTCCCCGCCCCGCAACCTGTAAAATCCGGCTAAGTCCTAACAGCTAGAGACAGTTCCCCCCAGCACAATCAGCAGCCCATAAGAATCGTTGAAGTCCTGTTCTAGAGACGCCCCTCTCACACCCCCAACACCCACAAAAATCGGCGAAGTCTTCCATTTCTAGAGACATTCTTCCCACACCCCTTTCGCCTGAATTTTTTTGTCAAATCCTCTGAGCAGGTGACACAAGTCCCTCAACAACCAAGGGTTTAGGGTTTAGGGTACTCGTGCTCCCCAAGCCAGTCTTGGACCAGACGAGACCTGTGCTTGGGATCATTGTCGTGCTGGAAAATGACCTCTGAGGGGGAAAGCTTGAAAAAATCGATGGTCTGTTTGAGCTCATCTTGCAAGATGCTGCGATACAGCAGCCCATCCATCCTGCCATCTATCTTGCACATGAACCCCGCCCCCTCTTACGTCATGCAACCCCACACCATCACAGAACTGCCCCCATGCTTAACTGTCTGTTGGACTTGGTGGCTCCGAAGGCTGGTGCCCTCGCGAATCCAGGCGTACGCACGTCCGTTGGAGCAGTAGCGGTTTATCTTTGTCTCGTCAGACCAAATCACCCGCTTCCAGTCCTCCAGCGTCCAGTTGGCATGCGACCGCGCGAAGTCGAGACGATCTCGGATGTTTTTCGGTGAGAGCCTGGGTTTCTTGGGCTGATGCACGGCGATCAGCCCCGCGGATCGTACTGAGTTCCGTACCGTCTTCGAGTCTACGGCGAGATCGTGCTTCTCCAACAACATATATGCTGCGTCTACAGAGCTTTTCGCCTCGCCGTTTGTAATCGCGCGTATTATTCCGCGCTGGAGACGGGTAGTGATTAAGCGGGGGCGGCCGGCCGTAGGCATCGTAGGTCGCACCTCCTCGCGACTAGTCTCGGCAGCCACTTTCAAACCGTAATCGTGCACGGTGCTCTTGCCTATGCCAAGAACTTTGCCTATTTTCCTAGTCGAATGGCCCGCACGCAACATGCTTATGATTCGCGCGCGCTTCCGCTCATTTAATGGCTTCATGGCGATGCGGTCGTAGGCTCGCTCTCGGACTAACTCCTAAGCCAGCAACTATTGCGCGTGACGATGTATACACCGAGTGACGGGGGAAAATATATCTACTCTTCCGCTCGGTAGGAAATGTCCGCTTCGATAGTCGAGGAGTAAATTTCAACCCCACTTTTTGGTTGTGTCACAATCGCGCCAAGGAAGAAACGGTTGAAGCAGAACTCGAACACCTTGTAACGGAATGGCAAAAAACGGGTGTTACTGTTTTTGAAACATGTGTGGCATAGCGATATGTTTCAAAGTGTTAAACATCCGGGCAATTTATTCCGCCACTGTACGTTGAGAGGTGCTGTTATGAATGAACAAGCAGAGTAGCGCAGAAATGAATAACGAAGTGTTGAATCATTGAATGACGATACAAGGAATGGCAAGCCAATATATAGGAACCATGAGATGTGAAGGTTTTGGAAAGAGATCGAAGGGGATCGAAGTGACAAAGCGAGGCCCGGAGAACTCCCGAAGGTCGAACTAGAAGGTCTGGAGAAGCCGATGCGGTTCTGTCAGAAAGGTCCGGAACTGTCCCGAGGCTTCGGGTGTGTTCGAGCGTATGCGATAGCAATACCACTCGGTAAGGAATGGAAAATTCCTTACACCAACCCCCCCCTTAGCAAAGGTGATCTATATCGGCCACTTGCTTGCGGGCCAAATAATTCGCAAGTATCGAAGGTGATTGTATCTGGTCCGAGGGCACCCACGTGTCGTCCTCATTGGTACGATTGGTCCATCGTATCAGAAAGTCAACGTGTCGTCCTTGGCTGCGATACGAATCCTATGGCTCAAAATCTTTGAAGGTTCGATGGTCGTCTCTGCTAGTGGCCGTACATCCGGAACCAATCGCTGCCGAGCGATGTCCGATGTGTCAGGTACAAAAGGTTGCAACAGGCTTACGTGGAACTTGTTGTGAATATGCCAATCATCAGGTAGGCGCAACTGGGCGGTCACTGGCATCACCATCTTCATGATCTTGAATGGGCCACAGAAACGTGGTCGTAATTTCGTCAGTAGTGGTAGCCGTAAGTTCTTGGTGTCCAAAAGGACTAGTTGCCCTGCTGCCATTGTAATATCCCGTCGATATTAATCCGTATACCGTCGAGCAGTAGCGTTCGCCTTGCGAATAAGTTCGACAGCTTTGTCGCAGGCAGTCTGTAATTCTTCGACGAACTGCTGCGACCGTGGTACTTGACTCTCAACGTTGGTGGAGATAGGTACTGTGGGGTCCATCCCGTAATTGAGGTAAAATGGGGAGTGATTTGTCGTAGCTGAGGGCGCGTTGTTGTAAGAGAATTCCAACCTGGGAAGCACGTCCTCCCATTTTCGGTTGCGGCAGTTTGTCTGAATCAACTGTTCCATTGTTTGATTTGTCCTCTCTGTCCGACCGTCCGTTTGGGAATGATAAGCGGATGAGAATTGCAGGCACGTGCCGTACCGAGCCCACGTGTCCTGCCAAAATCTCGAAGTGAACTTCGGGTCTCGATCGCTAATGATTGCTGCTGGTATCACGTGTAGGCGAACAACGGTCGAGATGAACAGTTGCGAGGTTTCCTCGGCTGTGATGGTTGTACGACATGGTGCAAAATGCGCCATTTTCATCAATCGGTCGACGACAACCAATACTGCGTTGTTTTCGCTGGATCCGGCCGGCATACCTGTGACGAAATCCATCGTCATGTGTTGCTATGGGCATTGAGGTGGCTCGAGGGGCTGCAACAGTCTTGTCGGTCGCTGATGTGATTATTTCATTCGCCCGCAGATCGGACTTGCGGCCACGTAACGCTGCACGTCCGTCACCATATCTGGCAAGTAATAAAACCGCTGCAATGGCTTCAGAGTTTTATCAACCCCAGAATGTCGTGGACTTCTTGAATTAGTAATTCGCAAAGTAGACGATAACTTGGGACCCATATGTCAACTTATACATATGTCAGTATGTAAGAAGTTATAGGCTAGATAGGTGTTTGTTCTTAGAGAGTACAACCCCAACCCTATACCTTGCTTGTTCTCTCATGTGTTCAATCATTCTAGGATTCTAACATGGTATCATGCGTAGGTTAGGTCCCCCCCACCCGATTCCGCCCCGCGCCCTAGCCTATCGCGCCTCGCCGGCCCCTAGCGCGCCCGTTATCCCCTCGCACCGTGGCCGGCCCCTAGCGTACTCGTCGGCCCCTTCGCGACCAGCTGACCCGCCCCTCCAGCTGTCGCCAGCCCCTCGCACCTAGCTGGCCCCCTCGCGCCCTTGCTGGCCCCTCGCGCCCTAGCTGGCCCCGCGCGTTGTCCCCCGCCCCTTGCGGCCAGCCGGCCCCTCGCGCCTTCACTGGCCCCTAGCGCCCTCGCTGGCCCCTCGCGACCTCGCTGGCCCCTCGCGCCCTAGCTGGCCCCTCGCGTCGTCGCCTGCCCCTTGAGCCCAGCTGGCCCCTTCGCATCCAGCCGGCCCGCCCCTCGTGCCGTAGCTGGCCCCTCGCGCCCTAGCTGGCCCCTCGCGTCGTCGCCCGCCCTGTGCGCTCCGCCAGCCCCTTTGCGCCCTAGCTGGCCCCTCACGCCTCATCGTCCCCTCGCACCTAGCCGGCACCTCGCGCCTAGCTGGCCCTTCATGCCCGCCGGCCCCTTGCGTCTGACCGGCCCCTCGCGCCCTAGCTGGCCCCTCGCGCCTAGCCGGCTCCCCTCGCGCCTAGCCGGCCCCTCGCACCAGCCAGCCCCTCGTGCCTAGCCGGCCCTTACTACCTAGCTGACCCCTACCACCTAGCCGGCCCCTCTCCTGCGCACACATTCTGCCGGCTCCTCTCCACACCCCGGCCCCCTATGCACCTCGACTCCCAGTGCACCGTCCTTGGCCTTTCCATTCCGATCAGTTTTGGAGAGTCCTGCCGTCGTGCCGCTGAGTCCCTGTGTCGCCATGCCGCTGAGTCCCTATGCCACCGTGCCGCTGAGTCCCTGTGCCGCCATGCCGCTGTGTCCCCGTGCCGCTGTGGTTGAGCGATGGCAGACGCCATGCTTCGTCTGGATGCGGAGGGACAAGCGATCGACTTTGGCGTCTGGCTTGTCGATCTCTGCCGGCACCTGACAGGTCAGCGCTAGGATGGGCACTCCTTGGCTATGCATGTTGATGGCTTGCTTCCCCACCCCCCCTCCCCTGTTCCCCTCCCTGCTGCCCCCACCTCTGCTGAGAGTGAGGCCTTTGCTGCTGGTGCACTAGCTCTCGCGATGCTGTCGCGCAGCGTGCCATTAGTCATGCCCTTCCCCTTTCTGAGCGTCCGCGTTTCACTACTATCGCGAACACCAAGGATATCTTACATGCTGTAGTTGACCGCTATTCCCGCTTGCCTCTGCCTCAACTGGCTGCATGATCCTCCCCATGCTCTTCCCAGATCTCTCTGCTTTCCCCACTGTTGCTGAGCTTGCCACTCACCTCCGTGCACTAGAGACTAGCTACCGCGCCGCTAGCACTACTGCCCAGCTCGCTACCTTCCCCCCACCGTTCTGCGCTACAGTGTACCTTATTGCCATGCGCCTCCCTGATCGCCTAGCCACTGCCCACGACCACTTCCTTAGACAGCACCCAGGTGACCTCATCGTGACTGCCTTTGTAGCCGCCCTTGCTGAGATGAAGACTCGCCGGCACACTATCGCTCAGTCGAGCGGTGTTGCGGCAGTCCCTATCTTTCAGGGCTATGCTCCCTCCCAGTGCACGTACGTGGACGTCTCTGCTGCGGTCGCCATGGCTGCTCCTGCTCCTGAGACCGCAGCGGCGGCCTTTCCGCAACAGCAGCGCCAGCGTCGGGGCCGTCGCGGCCCCAAGGGAGGGTGTGGTGGTGGTGGTGGTGGTTCTGACGAGGGGGCTGGGGCGGTTTGCTCAGGAGCCGCAGCAGTCGCAGCAGCAGCCACCACAGCAGCAGCAGCAGCAGCAGCCGCCGCCGCAGCAGCAGCAGCAGCAGCAGCCGCCGCACCCGCAGCAGCAGCAGCCGCAGCAGCAGCAGCCGCAGCAGCAGCCGTGGGCCCTCCTCCCGCTAGGATAGCAAGGAGCCCCTGGAGGTGGTGGCCGAGGCGGCGGTGCTCGCAGCTCGGCGTCTACCGGCGGCTTCGGTGGTGTGGGCTGCCAGTACCAGCTCCAAACCGGGCCCCTTTGTGGCACTGTGTCCCGCCGCCCGCACCCGACCGCCCGCTGCTTCCACCGCCTCGACGACCTCTTCTATCGCTGCTTCAGCCCGGCCCGGGACCTTCCCGCCTGGCCCAGTCTGCTGCGCCACCACTGTCGGCTTTCTTCAGGACCTCGGCGTCACCACTACGTTCCCGGGTCACGAGCGGTACGCAGTCTGTACCGAGGCCACCTCAGGTTCCCTCCTTGCTACGTTCCCCCGGGACCCGGTGTCTAGCCTCTTTACGCTGGACACCGCTTCCCCCCGAGTGGACCGCCCCCCCCGCGTCTTGCGTCTACCCTGGTCGCCGCTACGTGCTCGTGTCGGTCGCTCACTCACCCGTCGCTTCTGTGGCACCACCGCTCACTCCCACGTCTGCATCACATGTCCCAGCACGATCTGGTCCTAGGCCTCCCTGCGTTGTTTCCTGCCCTCCCTCCCTCGCATGCGCCACTGTGCACGCCTTGTGTCGAGGGCCGGCTCCGCCGGGCTCTTTACTCCTCCTCACTTCGTCCTGCCACCACACCCCTCCAGACCCTGCACCTGGACGTCTAGGGCCCAGCCCCTGTCCCTGGACCGCGTCGCGAGCGCTACTTCCATGTGCTACACCACGGTGTTTCCTCTGGAGCGGAAGGCCGACATGCCTGACGTTCTTATTCCGTGGGTCATAGCTACACGCCTCCACCGCGATCTCCCTGTGTGGTGTCTCCACTCTGATCGTGGCGGCGAGTTCGCCTCTGGTCGGCTTGGACAGTTCTATCGTGCGGAGGGCATCACCTTGTCGTACACCCTACCGGACTCCCCGCAGCAGAATGGGGTCGCTGAGCGACGCATCGGTTTGGTCATGGAGGTAGCTCATACCTCCATGATTCATGCCAGTGCACCCCATTCTCTGTGATCGTTCGCCGTTCGCTACGCAGCTCACCAGCTTAACCTCTAGCCGCGCTTCCAGCGGCCGCAGGTTTTGCCGACCCTTCTTTGGACCGGGTTCCATGGTGACGCGTCCGCGTTCCACGTCTGGGGCTGCCTCGCTCACGTTCGTGCCTCTGGCACGGACAAGCTCACTGCCCGCACTGTCCCCTGTGTCTTCCGTGGTTTCCCCTTGGACTCCTCTGACTGGCACTTTTACCACCTGCCGTCTCACCACTTCTTTCACTCCCGTGACGCCACCTTCGACGAGCCTGTCCCCTTTTATGACCGCTTTCCTCACCAAGGTCTCCCGGTCTCCCCTCCCCTGTTTCTGGTACCCACTACCCTGGTAGCCTTTGCTCCCCTCCCACCCCGTCCTACTCCGTCTGGTGTGTCTCACGTCACTCCCCTCCTGTCGCTTGTCCCGGTCGAGGAGTCTGCTAACTCTGGTGGTCCTGCGGCGCCAGTCTTGCCGCCGGTCTCTCCCCCAGTGTCTCCTCCTCCGCTGTCGCCGTCGCTGCCGCTGCAGCCGCCGCCGCCGCATTAGCCACCACCGCCACAGCCGCCTCTGTCGTCGCAGCAGCTGCATCCGGTTGTGGCCTCTTGGGTTGCTGGCGTTGAGGAGGGTGCTAGTCCTAGGGTTCCTGTCGTGGCTTGCCCTGACGGGCTCGGGGGTGGCACCGGTGCTGGAGAGGGTTCTTGCTCTGGGGGTGCTCGTCCTGGGGGTGCTGGAGTGGAGTAGTCCGGAGGTAGCCGTGGTGCCGCAAGTGGTCCCAGTGTCGGCGTTGAGCTGCAGCAGCAGCAGTCGCCGCCTGTGTCCGCCCTTCGCCTGCTCGGCTGACCGCTTGACTGTACCTCCTCCCCTTCTTGTTCACAATCCTGCGTTTCCTCCACCCGACTCGTCCCCGGCTCGTTTCCCCTCTCGTTCCCCTCCTGTTAGTCCTCCTCTTTCTCCTGACCTGACGCCTCCGTCTCACGTCTGGTCACGTCGTCCCTCTCGTCCTCGTCCTGTCTCCCTTGTTCCGCGTTCTCACCCTATATTGCTTTGTTCCCACGCGTCTTGTCCTCCCCTCCTGCCTTTGCCTCCTCCGTCGTCGCTCGCTGTCGCGCCCCCCCCCTCTGTCTGACTACCTTCGTGCTGCTCGTCCTCTTATTCCTCAGGTCCTTGCCTCCCTTGTTACCTACTCGTCTGTTCCTGTCTCCAGTCTTGACGCTCTCGCCGCTGCTGTCGCTGACTTCGCCTCTACCCTCCGCCTTGACTACGCCACCGCTTTGGTCTCTGACCCTGTCTGTCCTCCGTCCATCGGGGGTGCTCCTGCCCTTGGCAGTGACGTCCTAGAGTACAGGCAGTACGAGCTTGCTTTCCTATTCGAGGATGCTCCCCATTTTTGCTCCATGCTGCTAGTCCCTGAGGGTGACCCAGACGCCTTCGACATCCCGACCCCTTATACTTTCCCTGAGGTGACCTCGGGCCCCTGGGCCTCTCAGTGGATAGCTGCCATGGAGCAGGAAATGGCATCTTGGAGATTCACTAGCACCTATGTCGACGCAGTTCCCCCACCTGGGGTGAACGTAGTCGACGGCCGATGGCTCTTCAAGGTGAAGCGCCCCCCTAGAGAGCCGCCTGTCTTCAAGGCGCGCTACGTGGCTAGAGGCTTCAGTCAGCGAGAGGGTGTGGACTTGTTTCAGACCTTCGTCTCGATTCCGAAGATGACAACTCTTTTGGCGCTACTACACGTAGCAGCACAGCATGACTACGAGCTTCACTCCCTCGACTTCTCCACTGCTTTTCTTCAGGGCCGCCTACAAGAGCAGGTCTACCTGCGCCATCCTCAGGGCTTTACTGGCACCTTCCCTCCTGTGACCCAGTGGCTCTTTCAGCGCCCGGTCTACGGCCTGCGACAGGCACCCCATGAGTGGCACGATATGATGCGTGCCACGCTAGCTGACCTGCAGTTCTTCTCGTCCTCTGCGGACCCCTCACTCTTCGTTCGTGCTGGCCAGACCCCGTTCTACATCCTTGTCTATGTAGACGATCTGGTCTTCGCTACTGCAGACAGAGACGCGCTGGCCTCCGTGAAGGCCGAGCTGCTGAGGAGACACACCTGTACTGACCTAGGAGAGCTGCACCGCTGCCTTGGCTTGCAGATCTCCCGGGACAGAGCAGCGCGCACCATCACTCTCACAGAGTCACACTTGGTGCGCCAGGTCCTTCAGAGGTTCGTCTTCAGTTCTCCTCCGCACAGCCTACACCTCTGCCAGTAGACCACAGGCTCTCAGATCTAGTTCTTGAGGATAGTGGTCCTTACACAGAGCTGGTGGGTTGCCTCATGTACCTGATGACTTGCACTCGTCCAGATCTCGCATACCCTCTCAGCATCCTGGCCCGCTTTGTGGCCACAGGCAGACACCAACCCCAGCACTGGTCGGCCGCTAAGAGGGATTTGCCTTATCTTGCGAGTACATCGGGCATGGGGCTAGTGCTGGGAGGACGCAGGCCAGTGGTTCTTACTGGGCACACAGACGCTTCTTGGGCAGACGACGCTGAGACCCTCAGGTCCTCCCAGGGCTACTACATTAGCCTTGGTTCTGGTGCCATCTCGTGGAGGTCCACTTGCTTAGGAAATGTAGGGATTTATGGTCGGTTCGCACCGTCACGTCTGCTCCAGTCAGGTAGCACGTCCAGATTTTGAATGCGTGGACAATCGCCAGCATCTCCTTGTCGTATACCGGATAGTTGCGCTCCGCCGATTGCATTTTCCGAGATTCCGAAGCGATTGGCTGAAGACCATTGCCGAAATCTTGCATGAGCACTGCTCCGATGGCGATTTCACGTGCGTCGGTGATGACTTCGAAGGGCCGTTCCGGGTCAGCGATGCGAAGAAGTGGTGGCGGCATTAAAAGAGTTTTTAATGCCTTGAATGCTGCTTGCTTCTTCTCTCCCCACTCGTAATAAGTCCCCTTATGCAGTAGGTCGGTTAGAGGTCTTGTTGACCCTGCCATATTGGGTATAAACCGCCTCACGTAATTCACAAAACCCAGAGATGATTTCAACTCCTGCAGATTTGTTGGCGGTTTCCACTCCTGAATAGCTCGGAGTTTTTTCGGGTCTATTTGAATCCCCTCCGTGGATATCACGTGCCCCATGAACTCCAGTTCTTGTTTTAAGAACTCGCACTTGGAGCCCTTGGTGATGAGACGATGCTGCTGCTGCCGCTGAAAGACCGCTTCCAAGTCCTTTAAATGTTGCTCTCGGGTCTTGCTGTAAATCAGGATGTCTTCCAAGTAAATTATAACACATTTGTCGATTAGATCGCGGAACACCCTGTTCATGGTGAGTTGGAACGTCGAGGGGGCGTTCGCTAATCCAAACGGCATTACCGTGTATTCGTAACTCCTGTAGCGACTACGAAACGCAGTCTTGTGGCAGTCGTCAGCGAACACCCGGATTTGATGGTAACCGCCATGAAGGTCGATCTTCGAAAAGTAGCGAGCTCCATGAAGGTTTTCAATCAGCTCGTCCGTGCGTGAGATTAGGTAGTGTGATTTAATCGTTACCCGATTAAGGGCACGATAGCCCGTACACATGTGAAGTCCGCTATCCTTCTTTGGGGTGAACAGGATCGGCGCTGCGAACAGGGACGTGCACGACCAAGTAAACCCTTTTGCCAGCAGGTAGTCAAGTTGGTTCCGTAATTCGTGTAGCTCGGGCTGAGTCAGGTGCCATTGAGTTCGTATAGTAGGCTGCGCGCTAGGCTCCAGCTCGATTTGTGGTCTTGGGGTCATTCGGATGGCAGTCCACTTGGCAAGTCGTCCGGGAAAATCTCGGGATATTCCCGAATGATTTTGCCAAGTCATCCGGGACCGAGCGCATAGTTTGTTGATGTCGGTCGCCTTGTTCTACTCCGTTGATTTGGTTAGATGGACGACGTATAAATCCGCTCCATTCTTGACCGCTAGCTTGAGGCAAACAACTTTGACTCGTGTCGAGGTTGTCTCTGCTTCCGGCCACATGGGTAATTTTCGCCAGCCTTCTCGCACTTCGCTGTGCACTCACCTGTCGTCCAATCGATCTGTGGATTGAATCTTCGCAGCCAATCGCGTCCCAGCAGCACATCGTAGCCGTCGAGTGTTGTCGCATCGTCGCGCTGAAGCCGAAATCTTTGCCATACTTCATTCGAACGACGGGTACTTTGTCGCGTATCACCAGCGGGGTGCCATCCACCAGTCTCGCGTCTATTTCGGGCAGACACCACTCCAACGATAAGTATAGTCTTCGTGCTGTCTCCCGATTTATCAGGCTCTGACTCGCACCTCCGTCGATGATTTTTTTTTTTTTTTTTTTTTTTTTTTCCATTGAATCGTCCTTCCGTCAGTACATGGTGGTCCACTGGGTCATTCCCCTTATTCAGCCGGGAGCGGTTGACAGCGTGTATGGGAACTACCACCCGGTGGGAATGGTGTTTTTCGGGCGATGAGGCAGGGTCAGTAGGGGGCCCGACCGCTACTAACGCTTGGCGTTTCCCGACTACCTTCGTCGTTCTTCTTTATCTGCTTCTTTCGGGGGCATTTGTGAGATTGGTGACCAAGCTGGTGGGAGTTGAAATATTGTTCCTTGCAAAAATCTTCCATGTGCTCCTTCACCACTACGCCGTGAATCGTGGGCCGTGGATCCTGGCCGCGAAAACGATTTCCCTTCTGGGAACCCACTCTCGCATACGTCCGATGCGCGTCGAAATTGTCCGCGATCCGGACTGCTTTGTGAAACTCCGCCGGTACTCGCAAGAGAACCTCGCATTTAATATCCTGCTTCAGGCCCGAAATGAATCGAGCCTTCTTCTCGGAGTCATGCATGTCGGTGATTTGATCGCATAACGTCATGAAGACCGACGCGTAATCTTGGACATAACTCCACTGGCGCCAGTTGTCCAGCTTCGTGCGTGCGTTGTCCGAGGCGGATATTGGCTCGAATCGTTCACGCAGAGCTGTACCCCACGCCTTCCACGTGCGAATCTTGGTCGATCCAAAAATCGCGGTTGACCTTTGGGCAGCAGACCCAAAGTTTCCGAAAAAACCCTGTGCGTCGCTTGTCGAAAACCCCCCCTCATGTAGTGTATATCGCCACCAATCTACCGCAGGTCCCCGCAGTAGTGATACAATCAGCCAAATTTTTAAATCGTCAGCAATGATCCCAGCGGCATTAAGATAAAGATCCGTCGAAAATAACCAGCCCGTAACAGTAGTACTCTTATCTGTGGGGTTGAACGGGGGTAGCATTGTCTGTTTGATTGTCGCTATCGGCACGACTGCCAGCGCGGTTATAGTAGCGGCTGCTTCTGACCGGGTGGCTGCTGCTGCTGCTGCTGCTTCGGCTGCTGCTCGTGCTGCCACGTTAGCTGCTGCGGCGGCTTCGTTATCCTTACGCTCCTGAGACATCTGACGTGCGATTTCGTCCAAAACGGTTTTGACACGTCCAGTGCTGGCGACCTCCTCTTGGGCGGCAGTTTTCTGACGCGAATCCTCTCGCGCCTTGCATAGCTCGGCAAATTCTGCACGAAGTCGCTCGTTATCCTCCAGCACTGTATCCATGCATGTATTCATGGCGTTGAACTACTCCGGAAGCTTGTTGAACTGAGCTTGGTCCATTTGGCGAAAGCTCTGTCGGGGCTGGGGGAAATCCGTAATGTGCCTGTACTCAAGCGCAAACGCTATTGTAGTTGGGCGAATTAATCAGTCTAATTCGCGGGCAACCGCTTTGCAACTTACGTGAGGGACTTACAGTGGCGGAAAAATTGCCCTGATGTTTAGCACTTATTCCTATGCCTCACATGTTTTGAATGTAGTAACACCATTTTTTTCCGGTCCTGTTACAAGGTTGTCGAGTTCTATTTCAATCGTATCCTACTTGGCGCGATTGTGACACAACCAAAAAGCGGGGTTGAGATTTACTCCTCGACAGTCGATCCGGACAGTTCATACCGAGCGACATACTAGATATATTTCCGCTCGTCACTTAGGGTACACATCGTCTCGCGCAACAATTGCTAGTCTAGGAGTTAGTCCTGAAGCGAACCTACGACCGCATCACAATGAAGCCGGTAGATGACAAGAAGCGCAATAAGCATGTTGCGCAAAGGGCATTCGACTAGGAAAATAGCCAAATTTCTTGGCATAGGCAAGAGCACCGTGCATGATTACGGTCTGAAGTTGATTGCAGAGACTAGTCGCGATAAGGTGCGACCCACGATGCCCACGGCCGGCCGCCCACGCTTAATCACAACCCGCCTCCAGCGCGGAATAGTTCGAGCGATTACGAGCGGGGAGGTGAAAAGCAGTGTAGACGCCGCAAATTTGTTAGAGGAGAAGCACGCTCTGGCTGTAGACTCGAAGACCGTCAGGAACTCGTTACAATCCGCGGGTTTGATCGCTGTGCAGCAGCCTTAGAAACCCAGGCTCTCTACGAAAAACATACGTGATCGGCTCGATTTCGTGAGGTCGCATGCCGAGTGGACGATGGAGGACTGGAAGCGCGTGATTTGGTCTGACGAGACTAAGATTAACCGTTTCTGCTCCGACGGATGTGCGTACGCCTGGATTCGCGAGGGCACCAACCTCCAGAGCCATCAAGTCCAACAGACAGTTAAGCATGGGGGCGGATCTGTGATCATGTGGGGTTGCATGACGTATGAGGGGGCGGGGTTCATGTGCAAGATAGATGGAAGGATGGATGGGCCGCTGTATCGCAGCATCTTGCAAGATGAGCTCAAACAGACCATCGATTTTTTCAAGCTTCCCCCCTCAGAGGCCATTTTCGAGCACGATAATGATCCCAAGCACAAGTCCCGTCTGGTACAAGACTGGCTCGGGGAGCAGGAGTATGCGGTCCTAGAATGGCCCTCGTCCTCCCCGGACCTTAACCCCATAGAGCACCTGTGGGCACACTTGAAAAGGCAGCTGGCGAAGTACGAAAAACCACCTAGTGGAATGCTGGAGCTGTGGGAGAGGGTGCAGGAGGAATGGGACAAGATACCGGCGGAGGTGTGCTCGAACCTCATCGACAGTATGCCGAGGAGGATCAAGGCAGTGATTCGCACTAAGGGGCGCTGGATTAGGTACTAGTTTTCTTGTTTGTAGTTTGCTGCCTCGGTACAAATTGTCCGGATGTGCTCTTATGATATGCTTAGGTGTTTAAGGACCATGTACTATACTACTCTGGTTTTTGGAGACATGAATAAGTGCTGTAACTGATCTTCTCAACGTGTATGCACACCATAAATTAAGGCTTAATGTTAACGCCGCTGCACTCATCAAAATGTGCAAAAAGACCAAACATCCGGACAATTGTTTCCGTCATTGTACCCCCCCCTAAAAAAATCAACTCACGAAAATGGGTGAGCGAGAAAAGTGGCTCAGAATACCTGGTGTTATGAATGAACAAGCAGATTAGCGCAGAAATGAACGACCAAGTGTTGAATCACTTAATGACGATACAAGGAATGGCAAGCCAAGATATAGGAACACCAGAGCTAGTCTAACCATGAGATGTGAAGGTTCGGGAAAGAGATAGAAGGGTCTCGAAGTGACGAAGCGAGGCCCGGAGAACTCCCGAAGGTCGAACTAGAAGGTCTGGAGAAGCCGAGGCGGTTCTGTCAGAAAGGTCCGGAACTGTCCCGAGGCTTCAAGTGTGTTTGAGCGTACGCGATAACAGTACCGCTCGGTAAGGAATGGAAATTTCCTTTCAGGTGCCATATCCAGGTGAATGCAGAGGTTGCAGTAAGAAAAAGGCCTCGAGAGGGTGACAACTGGTCTCTTGGTTATGGAAAGGAGGGATCGAAAAATGCGTACATACCGTAAGCACGTTGCAAAAGGCCAGGACAGGCACACGAGCAGAAACAAAGAACAAACTAAGGCCAGAACCACGGGAAAGTGCGTGAATTTCCTTCCACTGCTAGCTGGTCCATAATTTCCATAGGCCACCACTCAACGTACAACATACCGTAATCCCCCGTATAAAACACCCGTCGGAATTAAGCTCCCCTGGGTAGCTTGAGCAGGTATGGGTGTTTAATTTTTCTGGATATACACAACACCCTACTCTCGGACGTGAAAACTTTTGAACACTCCCCTGCCACTAGAATCTCCATTTCTAGGAGGAAACGCCAGAATTTCGTGTTGCGTCGTTCCGCGGCTCAATCGCAAAAAAAAAAACTGCTCGCGCCGAAAATGTACTGTACAGATTCCCGCGTGTCGGAAACAATGTCGCCTGAACAGAGGTTTTGAAACATGCCCATGAATCTCGGCAGGCTGAACCTGACGTTGCACCTTATGGAACAGCACTAAAACATTTCGCGTCAGATTTCGCGACACTGTAGCTCGCGAGTTTGGGAAGGTTCCCTGGGAAGGGGCTGGTAGAAACACGCTCTTAGGAGACGAATCTGCCCGAACGAAAACAAAATCGACGAGAACATTGAAATACGCAAGTTTGAGACTTTCGCTCGTCCCGCCAAATTAAACGTGTGCTCATTGGTTGTTCTGACAGCATCCTCCCTGACACTGCATGCTCACTGCCAATGTGGCAGGCAGATCGGGAATATCGTCCAGTATGCAATGAGATGACCAAAAGTGGGTATCCGACTCATCAATGTGGTGAAACAGGCACACTTGAATTCCAATTAAAAAACCATATGCACATTCCATAACTCCTGGGTGTTTTATTTTTTTGGCCTTTAATTACACCCAGCCCAAAAATTTGCTGCATTTCTATTAACACCATAGGGTGCTTTATACGGGGGATTACGGTATCAACTTATACATATTATGAATGTTGAAGTTATAAGCTAGCCTAGGTGTGTGCTTCTAGTGAGTACAACCCAACAGGTATATGTTCTAGGTTTCTCACACTAGTCATTCATTCTTGCATTCTAACATGGTATCACGAGTAGGTTAGGTCCACCCGCCCGCTTTCGCCCGCGCCCTAGCCTATCCCCCCCCCTACCTAGCCCTAGCACCCGCCCGGCCCCTAGCGCCCGCAAAACCCGTAGCGCCTGCCCGGCCCTTAAGCGCCCGCCCGCCCCGTCGCGCCTGCCTGGCCCCGTCGCGCCTGCCTGGCCCCGTCGCACCCGCCTGGCCTGTCGCGCCCGCCTGGCCCTGTCGCGCCCGCCTGGCCCGTAGCGCCCGCCTGGCCCCGTTACGCCCGCCCGGCCCCGTTGCGCTCGCCTGGCCCCGTTACGCCTGCCTGGCTCGTCACGCCCGCCTGGCCCCATTGCGCCCGCCTGGTCCCATCGCGCCCGCCTGGCCCCTAGCGCCCGCCCGGCCCCTCCTAGTGCCTGGTCGGCCCCTCCTAGCGCCCGCCCGGCCCGTTCTAGCGCTCGCCCGGCCCCTCCTAGCGCCTGGCCGGCCCCTCCTAGCGCCCGCTCGGCCCCTCCTAGCGCCCGCCCGGCCTCTCCTAGCGCCTGGCCGGCCCCTCCTAGAGACTGCTCGGCCCCTCCTAGCGCCCGCCCGGCCCCTCCTAGTGCCCGCCCGGCCGGCCCCTCCTAGCGCCCGCCCAGCCCCTCCTAGCGCCTGCCCGGCCCCTCCTAGCGCCAGCCCGGCCCCGACACGTCTGCCCGGCTCCTGCGGCCCGCAGCTCCCTATGCACGTCCGCCTTCTGCAGCCCTGTGTCTTCTGCTCGGCATGGTTCCTCGACTCTTCGGCCCCCTGACTTCTGCTTGCCCGCGCTGGAGCGTCTTGCAGACGTCCTCCTGGAGCTGTGCCGCTATGTCCTGTGGAGCTGTACCGCTGTGTCCCTGTGTCGCTGACCCTGCACGATGGCTAACTTCGTCCTCCGACTGGACGCTGAGGGCCACGCGGTTGACTTCGCCGCCTGGCTGTCCGACCTCCGCCGTCAACTCACAGGTCAGCGCCAGGGTGGGCACTCCTTGGTTGTCCATACTGATGGCTTGCTCCCCCGCCCCCCTGCGCCTGCTCCCCTCCCTACTGATTCCACCTCTGCTCAGCGTGAGACTTTCTCTGCTGCTGCACTTGCCTGTGCCGTCTGGTACTCTCGCGATGCAGTTGCTCAGGTCGCTATTAGTTACGCCCTCCCTGTGTCTGAGCGTTCGCATTTCGCTACAGTTGATACAGCCAAGGCTTACTTAGATGCTGTTGTTGCTCGCTATTCCACGCCTGCCTCCGCTACTGCTGGCCGCCTGCTCTTTCCTATGCTTTTCCCAGACCTTGCTTCCTTCCCTACTGTTGCTGACCTTGCCACTCACCTGCGCGCCCTAGAGTCTCGCTACCGCACCTCTAGCACTGCTGCCCAGCTCATTGCGCTCCCCCCCCCCCTTCTGCATGACTCTCTACTTTATTGCTATGCGCCTGCCTGACCGCCTTGCTAGTGCACGCAACCACATCCTTCACCCTGGTGATCTCACCCTGACAGACTTTGTCACCGCCCTTACCGAGATCAAGACTCGCCAGCGCACTATCGCTCAGTCGAGCGGTGCGCCGGCAGTCTCTGTCATTCACGGCTGTGCCCCCTCCCAGTGCAAGTTTTCTGATGTTTCGGCTGCGGTCCCCACTGCTACCCCTCTGACCGAGACTGCTGCTGCGGTCCACCCACAGCAGCGCCCGCGCCGCGCTGGTCGTAGCCGCCAGGAAGGGCGTGGTGGTGGAGCTGGTAGTGGTGGTGGTCCCGGAGACAGTGGTTCTACTGAGGGGACTGCCGCAGCTAGTCAGGAGCAGCAGCCGTCGCCCCTGCAGCAGGAGCAGCAGCAGCAGCCGTCGCAGCAGCTGCAGTCGTCGCAGCAGCCGTCTCAGCCCCCGCCGTGGGCTCGTCTCCTGGCGGGTTGGCCCGGCACCTCCGTAGGTGCTGGCCGTGGTGGCGACCCGCGCAGCTTGGCGTCTACCGGCAGCTCCGTTGGTGTGACCTGCCAGTACCAGCTTCAGACCGGGCCTCTCCGCGGCACTCTGTGCCCTCGCCCGCACCCGACCGCCCGCTGTTTTCGCTGCCTCGACGATCTCTTTCGTCGTCGCTTTGGCCCGGCCCCGGACCTCCCCGACTGGCACAGCCTGCTTCGCCAGGGCGTGCCGATCTTTGAGTTAGATATGGATCAGATAGGTGCTGCTTTGCATGCCTTGTATGCTGACGCTTCTAGTGTTGCTGGATCTTATTACCCTGTGTACTCTAGTTTAGGTGTAGCACCTTTGTGTAGCTTAGCCTCCCCTGCTGCGTCAGGCGTAGCACTGCCTAGTTTAACTAGCCTCGTTCCTGCACCGGCCCCGTTCCCGGCCTCTCCTACTGCCTCGCTGTCCTTCACTCTCGACTCCGGTGCTTCTACCTGTTCCTTGGGCACGAGGGGTTCGCTGTCTGTACCGAGGCTGTCTCAGGTTACCCCCTTGCGACTTTCCTCCAGGACCTGGTGTCTGGTCTGTTTACCCTCGACACCGCTTTCCCCCCGGTTGGTGCGTCCTCCCTGGTCGCTGCAGCTTGCTTGTTTCGGTCCCTCACTCACCCGTCCCTTTTGTGGCACGACCACTTAGGTCACCCTGCTCTCCCGCGTCAGCGTCACATGTCTCAGCACGGCCTTGTCTTAGGCATCCCCCTGTCACTCCCCACCCTCCCCCCCTCGACCGCTCCACCGTGCACGCCTTGCGTCGAGGGCCGGCTCCGCCGTGCCCCTCACTCCTCCTCGCTTTGCCCTGCTACTGCTCCTCTTCAGACCCTGCACCTGGACCCGCCCCCCGTCCCCAGACTGCGCGGTGAGCGCTACTTTCTTGTGCTCGTCGATGACTACACGCGCTACACCACGGTGTTTCCCCTGGAGCGGAAGGCCGACGTGCTCGACGTTCTTCTCCCGTGGGTTGTGGCTGCGCGTCTTCACCACGGTCTCCCCGTGTTGTGTCTCCACTCTGACCGTGGCGGCGAGTTCGCCTCTGGTCGGCTTGGCCAGTTCTGTCGTGCGGAGGGCATCACCCAGTCGTACACCTTGCCGGACTCGCCACAGCAGAATGGGGTTGTTGAGCCCCGCATCGGCTTGGTCATGGAGGTTGCTCGTACCTCCATGATTCATGCCGATGCCCCCCATTTTCTGTGGCCGTTCGCTTTTCGCTACGCTGCTCACCAGCTTAACTTGTGGCCACACTCCCAGCGGCCGCAGGTTTCGCCGACCCTCCTTTGGACCGGGTCCCCCGGTGACGCGTCTGCGTTCCACGTCTGGGGTTGCCTTGCTCACGTTCGTGCCTCTGGCACGGACAAGCTCACCGCCCGCACTGTCCCCTGTGTCTTCCTCGGTTTCCCCTTGGACTCGTCTGACTGGCTCTTCTACCACCCGCAGTCTCACCGCTTCCTTCATTCTCATGACGTCACCTTTGACGAGTCTGTCTCCTTCTATCGTCGCTTCCCTCACCGAGGTCTCCCAGTTCCCCCCCCCCCTATTCCTTGCTCCCTCTCCCCCGGTAGCCCTTGCTCCCTTCCCGCCTCGTCCTGACCCGTCTGGTGTCTCGCATGTCACTCCCCTCCCGTCGGTTGTCCCCGTTGAGGAGTCTGCTGAGTCTGGTGGTCCCCCCGGCCCGTCCTTGCAGTGTCTCCCTTCCCCAGTGTCTCCACCTCCGCTGTCGGTGTCGCCGCCACCGCCGCCGCCACCGTCGCAGCCGCCGCCGCCGCTGCCGCTCTTGGCCTCTGGGGGTGCTGGTGTTGAGGAGCGTGTTCGTCCTGCGGCTCCTGGCGTGGTCTTTCCCGGCGAGCCTGGGGGTGCCGCTAGTGCTGGCGAGGGTTCTCGCTCTGGGGGTGTTGGTTCTGGGGGTGCTGCTATTGAGTGTTCTCCCGACGGTCGTCGTGCCCCTGCCGGTCCGCGGGTCGAGACCCAGCCATCGCAGCAGCCGCCGCAGCCATCGCCGCCGGTCTCCGCTCTTCGTCTGCTCGGCCTTCCCTCCCCTGACCGCTTGCCGGTGTCTCCCCCACCACCTTCTCACCTCCCTGTCTACGGCCCTGTGTTCCCGCCCCCGGACTCTTCCCCGGCCCATCTTCCTCCTTGTTCCCCTTTTGTGTCCCCTCCGCTGTCTCCTGACCCTACACCTCCGTCCCACGTTTGGTCTCGGCGTCCCTCCCGTGCTCGTCCCGTCTCCCCTGTCCTGCGCTCCCACACTATGTTGCTCCATTCTCACTCGTCTCGTCCTCCCCTCCTCCCCTCGCCTCCTCCCTCGTCGCTTGTTGTTGCACCTCCCCCGCTGTCTGACTACGTCCGTGCCGCTAGTCCCCTTGTCCCTCGGGTCCTTGCCTCTCTTGTTACCGACCCGTCTGTTCTTGTCTCGCGCCGTGACGCGCTTGTCGCTGCTGTCGCTGACTTCGCCTCTACCCGCCGCCTTGACTACGCTACTGCTCTGGTTGTTGACCCTGCCCGTCCTCCATCCGTCGAGGGTGCACCTGCCCTTGGCATTGACGTTCTAGAGGACCGGTAGTACGAGCTTGCTTTCCTTTCCGAGGCCGCTCCCCATCTCTGTTCCATGCTCCTAGTCCCAGAGAGTGACCCAGACGCCTTCGACATCCCGACCCCTCGCACCTACGTTGAGGCCACCTCGGGACCCTAGGCCTCTCTGTGGATAGCTGCCATGGAGCAGGAGATGGCATCTTGGAGGTCCACCGGCACTTACGTCGACGCAGTTCCCTCTTCTGGGGTGAACGTAATCGATGGTCGGTGGCTCTTCAAGGTGAAGCACCCACTGGAGAGTCGCCTGTCTTCAAGGCGCGCTACGTGGCTAGAGGCTTCATCCAGCGCGAGGGGGTGGACTTCTTCCAGACCTTCGCCCCGACCCCGAAGATGACTACTCTTCGAGCACTGCTACACATAGCAGCACATCGCGACTACGAGCTTCACTCCCTCGACTTCTCTACTGCCTTTCTTCAGGGCAGCCTACACGAGCAGGTCTACCTGCGCCGACCACA